CAGCCAATGGATCCATTGCTGACCGAAACGCGAAGACATCTCGTCTCACTCTGTGCCAAACTGCAATGCGACGTGTTATGTTGGTGGGCCAAGCCCTTCTGAAACCCTTTTGTGGTAAGTGTGATCGAAGGATTTCATTTAGCTGATAATTACGTTAAACTAACCCTCAGTGGAATTAATCGGCGGATGCAATTAGAAGGGATAATCGCGTTTGAAGAGCCAGGGACCGCACAAGCAACGCGGTTACAGAGTCACGCCCCACGCGTCGAGTGGCACTCGAAGTGAGTTTGAGGCAAGCGGAGGATTTATGAAATGACCGCTTTATGTCTTTCAAAGACGGGAACATGGAGAGAGAGAGAGAGAGAGAGCAAAAAGAAAGTTATGAAAAGAAATTTTCTTCCACGACTCCACTTCAGCTGTTTGAAAATCTTACCACCTCATCCCAAAGTTTGTTCCGCGAATTTGTTCGGGAAGTTTCTCGATATTGTTCTCCGTACGAATTGGCTCGTATTTCATCCGCTGATAGGCCACTGTCTGCTCTCGGCTAGGCTGTGATCCGCTTTCCTGGTACACGTAAATGGCACGAGCTGCAGGCAGAAGAAACTTGGTCGTCCCTGTGCTTAGAGCAGCTTCCGTAATCGCAAGCACGTCTGAAACGTCGATGAAGGTGTGCAAGATTAAACGGCGCAACATCCCACAAATACATTAATCTCTATACTAGCTGCCGTGATAACCTGAAATCTCACCCCCCCCACCCCCCCCCCACCCCCTTACAGCGCGTTTCAAACCCGTAGACACGAAGCAACGCTCAACGTCTTGGTGATGAGATGACGTCAAAGACTCCACAAGGAAACTGCGCTAAAGTGTTCATGGCCTGTGAAAGCATCGCTGGCCGGGGAGGACGAAGGACGCAAGTCAGAGGGCAGCAGAGGACCCGGGTTACAGATCGGCTCTCACAGCGATATTCAGTAACGTCATGAAAAGGCTACATGACTGCAACATTTGATGGAGCGTAGTCAACAAAATAAAGAGACAACCTACGTCGGACCCCAAGGTCTTTACGATAATCCACAACAAATAAAATAAGTTATGTGGGGATTTTCACAGGTAAGGAACCCACTTCACAGATTTGTTTGACTTAACCTAATTTACGGAACACGATTACAGACGAGGGATTTCGAGTCTCCTTATTCGTACGTACTACAAGATCCTACAGACGCACGTTACGTTCTCC